ATATACACACCTTTTTGCCCCCACACAACTGTGTCAAGATGACCCACATTATAAAAAATATATATAACTCAGTACTCACTGCAGTCGCAGTGAGTGACAGAGCTCGCATTTTCTCATCGACGAAAACGTGAAGTCACGGACAGACGGACGGACAGACAGACGGACATGACGAGCACAATAACGTTTTTTTTTTCATAAATGAGTAAATGCGCTAAAAAGTACATCGCTTTTTGTACAGTCACTCACTTTTCTGAGTGAGCTGGTCGTGGTCCCTTTTTTTAACCTCGTGCAACAATAACTATTGCTGAAATTAGTAACAATTTTAGTGTAATAGTAAATCATCCTAAATCATCCTTCAGTCTTTACCTAAACATGTAAATAATAATGATATGTCGCGCTAATATACACTCGACTGTCCATAACATTTTGCCTGCAGGAATACCACACATTCGGACTCGTACGATTGATTGTTTCCTTGCAGCGGCACACACTTTCCCGGAAAATAATTATGCTGAGACATCTATAAGCTCGGTCATGTATGACAATATGGAAAGTATCAAGGTTATAGTATGCTTCGTATGCACTTACTTGCATGGGTTTTTGGCGTTGCTTTGGGTGTGTACATTTTAATAAATTCTCCAGGTATGGTAGCACCGAGTCGAATACGTTTCAAACAAAGCAGCACGGCCATGACGAGTCTTGGCATGATCGCTATCAGATTTGGACAATGATCGAAGTTACTGAGCTTCCTCGACAAAATTACGGTTCAAGGTTTTGTTCGTACATAATATTCTATTGTTGTCTATGCTAAACCAGTAACTTTTGGAGCGGAGATCAAACGTCTCAACTTCCTATTGAAATTATAATTTATTCACAGTATATCATACGTTAGTGATGAAAAATTGCAGCATTTTGTTCTCCTAAAAATGTACAGTCATTAAATCGAATCCAGAAAAGTTATCTTATCTAATGCAGAGAACGATGTTTCAAAACCAAAATTATGATCTTAAATCAAGTAGCTAAAAATTACAGCTCTCAAGTAAAGTACATGTAAGCATTGTCAAAAATTTATGAATGAATAGAGATTTTAGAACAATCATCCAAATTCTAGGACCTGGACAATAGAGATTTCTTTTCACACTCAATGATTATTACAAGTGGAGGAAACGATTTAGGATTCCATTTTAAAAGATTATTCTCGCCGGGATTTGAAGTCTACGGCGAGAAACGATCTAATAAATCCTGAGTGCGAGCAAGTGGCTGCATACAGGCTGCAAAGACTCGAGCCTACGAACAGGCTGCTGCAGGCTGCAAAGACTCGAGGCTACGAGCAGGCTGCTGCAGGCTGCAAAGACTCGAGGCTACGAGCAGGCTGCTGCAGGCTGCAAATCAAAGACTCGAGGCTACGAGCAGGCTACTGCAGGCAACAAAGACTCGAGGCTACGAGCAGGCTACTGCAGGCAACAAAGACTCGAGGCTACGATCTATTTGTAGGCCTTCACGGCTGCGTGTGGTCTTCCGGGGGTTTCTGCTTGCAGACCTCATCGGCCTCTCTGTTATCTCGATTAAATTTATCGGATTAGATACGCCGCGCAACGTGAATTAAAATTCACACAATTAACAGATCGTAGTCACGCCTAATTGTTACTCAGCTTACAAACAACTGAATTGCCGGATGGAATCTTTTATCCTTTGCATTCGTTCGCCCGTCTAACTAGCGCAGAAGTCAGTTTCGCCTCAGCATACAGACGCATAGAGTAGAGGATATTATGATGAACAATACAGTGGTGAAAGTTTTCTTAGGCCTACAGAATCAGAGTTGAGAAAATTTTCAAATAAAGATAATCAAAGCGAAACCACAACGAATTTGAAAACAAAGAAGACGGCACAGAAAATCTTTATAAAGGAAATCGTTTCAGACTCCAGCTCGATCGCCAGTTCGACTAACCTAAAAAGTAAATACAATAAGATTTAACTGCAAAATTCAGTCAGACATTGAAACATAAAATTAAAAAATGAAAGAAAACTCAACCTAATATAAGACAGCAAGACTGGCCTATCTGTTAACAATATCGAGAGGATGGAAAATAAGTGCGTAATTTAAGCTAGGTTTGAAAATATAAAAGAAAAAAAAAATTGAAAGTCAGAAATGACCGGTCGTAGAAGTTAAATTCTGAAGTTGCTGCCGGACTCCGAAATGTTTTTTTTTTTCATAAATATGGTGAATTCCAGTGCCATACTAATTGTTTTTAAATTCCTTGTTAATTTGCGATTTAAGCAGTCTAGTGATTTAAGCACTTTCATGTGAAACTACTCTATGGAGACAAGGCCTCAAATACAGAAGAAGAGGTTCCAATATACATACCATAAAACTTATTGCATTGAAACCTCGTCTTCTCAGGAACTTTTTTGCACTGGAAGCTCCTTGTCCTTATAAAACTTGTGCTTGACGCCGTCAAATATTAAATATTTTCATCAAAAATAATTTTGGTGCGCGGTGGTCCAAAATTATTAGGTGTTCCAAATTTTTTATGTGTGTGTGTTGCACATCGAGGCTGCTGAGGCGCCCTCCGTACACCGCTGATGGGATGATTGCAAATTGCATCGTGAGTAATAAATTTTCGACGTGCTTTTAAAGTAATTTTTATCTCATCAGAACTTGTAATTTGGTCTTGAACTACATACCAGCATCGCCCCTTAAAAAATGCTGTTGCCTTCGCGTGACGACAAATTGTGAAAGTTTAAATAGTGTAGCTTTACTTACTTATTGCTGCCTTATTTCAATAAACTCCATTTGTAGCTTTGGAGTTGGTGCGGTTTACTTATATTTTTTTTAATCAACAATGACTCGAAAATTAATTCAGTGTAAATCATTCCTCAGCTTCACCATCGACACCGCGCAGAACGCAGGAAATAACGTCAAGTTTGAACGCGTGAACTAACGCTAACTTTGAACGCGTGAACTAACGCTAACTTTGAACGCGTGAACTAACGCCAAGTTTGAACGCATGAACTAACACGTCGAGTTTGAACGCATGAACTAACGCTAACTTTGAACGCGTGAACTAACGCTAACTTTGAACACGTGAACTAACGCCAAGTTTGAACGCATGAACTAACACGTCGAGTTTGAACGCATGAACTAACGTCAAGTTTGAACGCGTGAACGAACGCCAAGTTTGAACGTGTGAACTAACGCCAAGTTTGGACGCATGAACTAACGCCAAGTTTGAATGAATGAACTAACGCCAAGTTTGAACGCATGAACTAACGCCAAGTTTGAACGCATGAACTAACGCCAAGTTTGAACGCATGAACTAACGCCAAGTTTGAACGCAGGAACTAACGCCAAGTTTGAACGCATGAACTAGCGCCAAGTTTGAACGCATGAACTAGCGCCAAGTTTGAACGCGTGAACTAACGCCAAGTTTGAACGCATGAACTAACGCCAAGTAACGCCAAGTAACGTCTAGTTTTAGCCTAAATTTGTGACACCCCCCAAGGGGGTCCGGCCTGACGTCTGCTGTAAGCGCCACTGGAGGCCACAAGCGACATGAAGCTCAGCCTTGACCCGAGCGTCCATCAGACTTGATAAGCCGCTCGGCCGCGTGCGCATCTTGCACGCGTTGCACTGAGGGTGGCACGCGGTACTGCGTCAGGTTGCATCTTGATTTACTTGCATTCTTTCGAATTAAACTAAGAGGAATGAGTGTTAATGCGTGCAAATAGCGATGCATTTTTGTCCATATGTGGGTTATCTTGACCCGGTTTGGCCTTGTCATGAGGGCGTATCAGTGCTACGCGCAGAAAATGTGTCACTGTTTGCAAAATACGAATTTCATTTGCTGAGTGAGAGGCCACGCCGTTAACAGTTATAATAAAAGGTTTGTAATGAGTATTAAAGTGATCCAATTTACTTGAGTCAATTCGAGTACAATGTTGGAGTAAAATGTTCAGGAAGATGGGGTAACCTTATAAAACTTTCAATTATATACGGCGCAACGACGGCTATTAAAAATCATCATGAAAAATAAACCTATGATGATATAAAGTACCTTGTATGGAGTAATATTGAATACGTAGTAATTAATTGCTCTGTGGACCAGATTAGGCAAATTACAATAAATTATTGAGTTTACTTAATTTACGTCGCCCAGAGTGTGCGTACAAGAAATTGCTTCAAAGAATTAAGAACCACCAGAATTCTTCTCTGCCATTGCAATTAAATAGCATTAATTATATTACTCCATTCAATACAAAAATCTCCGGAGGTTGGAACATAAATTTTGTCTTTCAAAATGTGAAATTCATGTCAAAATGTGAAATTCATAGAAAACGGCTAAAAAGGGGTACTTCAGAGTACTTCAGAAAATCTATCTTCTCCCACAAATATCATTCTACAACATCGAGACACGTATCATTCGATTCGTAAAGACCATATCTATCGACTCTATCATTCTTTTTTTTCATTTTCCACCTAGTTTTTTTTTATGACGTTTTTTCCCATTTTTACACATTTTTACATTTTTCACCCCTCCCCGCCCCCTTCTTCCCCATATAAAAAACGAACCAGACCGAAATTCAAAAAAAGGAATGATGGAGTCGATAGGCCTGGTCTTTACGAATCGAACGGTATATGTCTCATTGCTGTAGCTTGAAAACTCTAGGAGGAGATAGGTTTTCCGTGACANCGGCAACACAGCTTGTTCAAGAGATTCGCGCTCGAAGCTGACATTGGTGATGGTCGAGAGGGCAGAAACCAACACCTCATCGAACCGCTCCAAATCACCTACCCGCGTATATGCAGGAGACGCACGTAGGACGTACTGGAGTTTAGGTAGAGCGAAACAATTCTTTAAAAGCGTAAATGCTTGATGACTATCAATTAATTTTAAACGCTCCACCATCCTCTCCAAGCCCTCCCGCTTCTCCCGGATAACGGCGGAGACGCCCTCCTCGTGGAGTGGGGCACCCAGTAAAAGTGACCTATGGGCGGGAATTTTGTCTTCCAATGCCAACCTCAAAAAATTACTAACTAACTAAAAATATTTACTTGTAGTGCAGAACTTGTCACAAATGTCAGTTGTTTTATTCCATGAGACCGGAAAATCGCGAAGAAGCTGCAGCAGCTCTGAGAACTTGTGCTGAGAACTTCTCATGTCATGGAGGCTCTTAATTTCCCATCAAAACTCAACAAAGGATAATTTGTTGCCTCGTTAAACTTCATATTAGTTAATATTTGGCGCTAAATTGTTATTGAGTCGTTAATCTTTGAAAAGAAAATAAATGTTGAAGATTTCGCAGATCACGTCGTATATTTTACAGGCTCAAGTCTCTTGCCATAAAAAGATGAGGCAACGTTTTGCGGGGCTCATTTTCGGTCAACATATGAGGCAGCGTCGCAGAAAAATGTACGGAAATAAAGTACGAAATGAAAGCCATTGTTATTAATTTGATCATTGAGAATGGCATGAGGGTTAATGCCATCATTGTCCACCCGTGATGGCAAGAAGTTTATAACAGTCATGGTCCTCCACAGATGGTCATAGTTGTGGAGATGTAGAAGGAAATATTGTCACCACAACGTTACGATGCGGGGTCATATATAGTTGTGATGATGAAAGAGGAGGGGATTGTGACCACCACTAGCAAAATATCTGGTGATGTTAGCCATAGTAAAAATGGGTGTTGATGATGATGATGGGTCACAATGAAAGTAAAAAAATAAATTAGTGATCACCATTGTTCCCATACGTGGCCATGGTGGTCATATTGAGAAAAAGTGTTTTAGTGAACGCCACTATTCCAATGCGTGTTCATGGTACGCCACACATGGTCCTGGTGGTCGTGGTGGTAGCGGAATGGTATCCTGCGAATATGAGCGTACAGATATTCATCCTTCACCAGTTCCGTGAGCTCGTTAGGGTCGGCGATGGCCAGCACTTGGTATTTCTTCGGCATGTGTTTGCTGTTGGAAACCAAATCTGAGTTAGTAATGCGTAACACATCAATAAAATTACAAATTAATAACTTTTGGGAAAACAATGAACAATGATGAATAAGTTGATTGAACGCAACAAGTAACTTGAGATGTAATAAAGATATAAATTATGCCTCTTTTTCGAATGTTCACATGCAGCCGCAAAGTCTCTGAATAAGTATCGATGTATATTATTACGATATAACAAATGCACCTTGTAGCAATGAACAAAATATGCTAAATTTAGGAAATTCTTGGCATTCATAGTTTCTGGTGCGTCACTCCTTTGCGAAATACTCTGATAACAATTTTAATTCAGTGTCTAATGGTTTCATTAGTTCCAAACGGCTGAAAAATAAAGTAGCCCTCTAATTCTATATGATTATTATTTATATTATCCAAGAAATTATCTTCTGAAACGTGGTACACAATATTTCAAGTGCCGTTTTTAGACTTCTCTTCATTAAATATCCTCCGTCAAAAACTTCAATAGCTTCGAAACGAACATGGGGATAGTGTTTTTTTTTCAAATCTAGCAGTGCTTCGAGCTTATTGCACATAATCTATATAAAAAAGTAAACTTGCTATATATTTTCTCGATTACAATAACAAATTTGGTAGGCGATTAAACTCTAGTATTGCCGGTGAAAATATAGAACTATCAACAAAAAAGATCGAATTTTTCAGTCCGAAGCTGCAGAATTACAAAAATCCCAGACTTCTAGCGAATTCGAATCAGAATTCATGTATAGTGTATCGGCAGGCAGCAATAATAATGTGTTTGCAGTATCTTCATCTGCACTGTATTCAGAATTTCGGCACACCGAGAAAAATAAATAGATCATTGACAAAACAGTGTCACACCTTCTTACACATTACGAGCAGAGAACGGATAATTCCTGATACATCTTTTTCCGGGTTAAAACTGATCTGGTAGACCCAAACAAACGCAAACAATGACCTTCTAATTACTGTAAGTGCAGGCGACCACCAGCAGAGCTGAGATCGTCACAAAAGAGTTCAAGGATCCCATGCTTGAGAAGCAGATCCTGTACAATTCGCTTTCATTTTGAGTTACATTTATACGGGCATTATTTGTGTCTGAATACACAACAAATACGCGATGATTGCGAGCGTTAAATTTCTGGATATTGTGAAGATATTTGATAGTATTTTGAGCCTGATGCCGTCTTCCGACAATGTACTCGATGTTTCTTTGTCCCACAAGTCAAGACAGAAAAGAATGCATCATAATAAGCATTGTAACAACATTAAGAATTGACTTTATGAGATGGTTCAGTGAAAATAATGTATTATGTCTCAAGTGAACGAATGTAATAGTAATAGAAGATATTTATATGTGTTATATTTCCAGCATTTGACAAGTACATGCATACGAAGATGTTACCGCATTTTTTTTTTTTTTGTGGAGAATATCGGCTCAGCTATTTGGCTGTCATGCATCCTTGAGCAATGGAATATTATAAGGTTATATTTCACGATATGGTAGCATCGCTTTTGTTGTACTCTGAAAATGTCCTTTATCTTTATTGCCAGCCTCAGAAACTCATATGAAGATATTTTATCAATTATGTTTCTGAAAGGATTTACGTGAGAATTTGTAACTATCACATCCTAAGTAAAGCAACTGCCCTCTCTTGACCTAACAACAAAAGGATTGCCGTGAACGGCCTTGTTAGGATGCCACTAGCCAAGGACGTCAGGATGATGAGAGCTGACAGCCTTGCCAGATCCTGGATACCAATCCAAGAAGGACGCTCTACTCCGTTCAAATTTTTTTACCCGTCACCCTCGATATTATGACATGAGAAACACTCGTCAGATTTATAGATATCTAAAATAATAATTCACAAACTACATTTTGTGAACTATTATTTTATGAATAAATTACTGAACTGTCGTGAAAATAATTGAACCACATTCCGGATTTTAATTACTTTAGAGCGGCATTAAAGCGGCAATCCAATGTTCGTGGTGAAGACGCGGATGTACAAGCGCTAATATTCATACTTTATTTACGCTACATAACATCTGAATTATGCACATCAGCGTAAATATGTATAAGGTCTCATTGTGCACCGTCTATATTAGGATAATTTCTTGGCGTTAAGGATGTAATTGACGGCATTTGAAATGCGTTAAAGTTAATACATATGGCAAACTAAAAAAATTATCTCGCGAGCAGAGCGTTCAGATAGATGAATGTGAGAGAAGAAGAAGAAGAAGAAGAAGAAAAAGAAGAAGAAGAAGAACAAGAAGAAGAAGAAGAAGAAGATGATGTTCTGGGGCAGTGAAAGTAAAGTAGTGCGGGCTGCTGCAGAGGTCACGGCTGTCTCTTCTCTACGCCCCGCTGTTTGAAACGTTTTCAACCTCCCAACAACAGGGCACATACAGCAACTCAATGTCATAGTTCATATATGCTTCAACTATTGATAATAAATTCAAGATGGCCGCACGAAAACACAACGGTTTTCTCACCAAATCTAATAAATTCATATTAGTTCGTAAATAAAAAGCTAAACAGAAAGAACGATTGACCATCGTTTTTATACCAGCCAACGATGAAGTACCATGCAACGATTCTAATAAAACAGTGTTTAGTGAACACATTAAATATATATATCATAGTAATGTTTCCCTTATTAATAGTGCATTTTTCCAAACCCCACTAACAAAATATTCCTGTTGCTGTTATTCTTGTTCATAGTTTACGTACCAATAAGGGGCGCGAGGGCAGCCAACGACGAACAACGTCTGGTTGCGGTAGTTGACCCGCCATGTGCTCTTGTGCAGCTCCCGCACGTCTGTGTTCCACACGCGCATCGCCTGTCCATACAGAAACAATTTGCACGCGGGCTTATCTCTTGGCTCAACATTTCTCCATGGGCCTATTTTTTCAGTGCCGACACTTCTATTCTATTCTATTGACAACTCAGGCTGCACACACACTTTATAACTTGTTTTGTTATGTAAGATTCGGGGGGACGGTTTATAAATTGAATAGATTATAGTATTGAGAAACTGCGCAAACTTTGCCTAATTATATTCATTGGAGAAAATTAAACATATTGGCGGTTTGATTGATGAGCAAAATCAGTTGGTACTCGGCTCTTCTCTTGGCTCATTGACAACTCAGGCTCCACACACACTACATAATTCATTTTGTTATGTAAGATTCGGTGGGACTGTTTATAAATTTAATAGATTATAGTATAGAGCAACAGCATAAACTTTGCCTAATTATATTCATTTGGAGAAAATCAAACATATTCTCGGTTTGATGGATGAGCAAGAATTCAATGAGGGAGTACTAAAATAGCTTTCTCACCCGAGGGTTGCACCTGCAGGCACCTTATAAAAAATGATAATTAAGCCGAAACACCTAAGCTGATGAGAGACAGTTGAAACATATATATTAATATTTTTTATCTTAAGAAATAAAGATCATACACTGTTGTTGAGAATTGTGTCAGAAAAGAGAACCTTGTTTCAGTGTTGGTTGGCCATATGACTAGGGAATGCCGAGTCCGAATCGTAAAGAGAAAGCTGGATTAATGTTGACTCATGGACCACACATCAGTGGAGTTGGTCAAAGATAGCAGCCTCAATACTCATACCCTAATTACATGCTACATAAATGATCCATGACATATTTAATATAAATGCTTAAATTTATTTATTAGGAATCACAATTCTGGATACGAAATACCTTATCATGAATAACTATGATGAGGCCGAGATTTCAATGTTTAATTGCCATTTTATTTAATTTAATTGCCAATTGCTCGAAGTGCAAGATGAAGGACGGTATTTCTGATTTGAAAGTAGATCAGCGAAAGATATCCTCTGTTGAGGGCAAAGCTAACGTACTTAATTATTTCTTCAGTAGCGTATTTACTGAAGAGGACTTGAACAGTATTCCAGCTATAGAGGAGCGCCCAGTCGGCTCTAAATTAACAAGCTTTGAAATACAAGAAGAAGAGGTTCTCAAGCGCCTTATCGCTGTAAATCCAAACAAGTCATGTGGACCAGACGGCTTATGTTCAGTCTTAAAATGCCTAGCAAATTACGGACCAGGCAATAAGTCCAGCAGCTGTCTCAATCAATCGTCAGCTATGGAAAGATCGGGTTCCAAAGGCTGGATCCCTTGTGAATCAAGTCACGAAAAGTTCAAGAATCGGCAACAGGCCATGGGCCTATCTCTTCAGCGCCGACACTTCTATTCTATTCTATGATAAAGAACGCTTTTTGCAAACGCTGAGATTTCCAGTGACTTTTCAATATTGCTGAAGAGCCCGAAAACTACCGGGAATTCGAAGGTTACCGTTGTGTCCAGGTAACAACTAGGACACAGGCAATACAGGTTTATTAGACAGAAAAATGCGTACATAATTTTTTGATTGCATTAAGTACCTCGCCGACGGTCTTGAAGATTGGTTCATTGATGCCTTCGGTTTCTATGACCTCTCCAGTTATATTCATCTCCTTTGAATTAGGCTGTTCGACGTAAAGGACGTGTGCTCCTGTCTGTAAGCCGAGAAAATTAGAGATATAATTATTACAAGGTAGAGCTTATCTACAAATTACCTTACATTTAAAATTATCGTGACCCAAAAAATTTTATATTCTATAAAATACGATATTTAGCATTCGAGACATGGGAATAAACTTGTACTTGCATCGATATTTTTGATAAATTCTCTACATTATCGCCCTCTTCTTATTAATCAACCTTGAAGAATAAGATCAACAAATGACATGACCGTTTATTGAACTTCAGAATTCAATATTTCGGTTTTAAATAAATTTGGCTTTACTGAATTTAGGATGAATGCGAATGCCAGTAACCTGTGATTAAAGAGCTAGAGTCATGTTCAAAACTTAATAACACGTAAACTTGATAGCTAAAGAGAAATTCTTCTTGCTATACAATTGATTAAATCGGAGTTTGTTTTAATTCAAGATTAATTTATGTTTGTGTTTATTCTCATTCATAGTTGAATGGTAATAAAGTAAACTATGAGTAAAGAAGAGGCAGCCGTGACCCCGTAGTTTATTCAGAATATTCATCCTGAATGGAATATTCCTCATAGTTCCCAAATTATGTTACTTTACTTGCGTACTGCGATAACGCGCATTTCACTTCATTATCTTTTGAAAGTGATTATCGAGATGTTCACGGTAAATGGGATTCTTCGGAATCGATCCTTCATTCACGAGCTAAGCCAAAGCAAGAGAAGATACAATAGAATATTTTACAAGAGAAATTACACATTAATTTTTATCGTTTTATCTTCACCTTAGAATAACCTAACGTGAAGTTTTCCAAGCTGAAATCGTAGACGGGTTGAGCCTCGGATATTAGCTGATGCATTTCTTCCTCGTATTCTTCAGAGCGAAGTCTGTGATTTAAATAGGGGTTATTTATATATTTATATTTATTGTTAGCTGAAATCGTTGACGGGTTGAGCCTCGGAAATTAGCCGATGCATTAATTCCTCGTATTCTTCAGAGCGAAGTCTGTGATTTAAATATGGTTTATTTATATATTTACATTTATTATTATATGGCTTATTAATTTAGGGAAAGAAGCGGCAGCTGATATGGTCAAAATATAATTAAAGTAGAGCACTAATTTGGTTAATGATTTGTGATCTAATCGAATAGATGAACTATCCGCTTATTAAACCAATGTTAGGGAAGTATGTGGCCAACTAAAATTGTAGTTGTATTTTGCGATTTATCAATTGTAATCAATAAATTTGTCATATTAGAGATAACGGTACAGTGTGAATTAAATCTAGTAATTGCAAAAACAATTTTTGAATTATTAGCACTTTAGACGCATGGGCAGAACTTCAAGAAAAATGAAATCATATTATCCTGATGAGAGTGCGACCTGTGCATGGACAATTGTATGGTTCTGCGGCGCTGGTGCTAACATTGTACAAAAATATTGCCACATAATATCCTGAGTAAAGTGCATAAGTATGAGTTTGTCTGTGTGGCGTTATTACTAACATTGTACAAAAAAATTAAAACATAAAATCCTGATGAAAGTGCGACCTGTGCATGAGCATGAGTTTGGCTATGTGGTGTTGGTACAAACATTGTACAAAAAAATGTAAGACAAAATATCCTCTTGAAAGTGTGACTTGTGCATGGGCATGAGCTCGGCTATGTGGCGTTGGCACTAACATTGTAAAAAAATTAAAACATAAAATCCTGATGAGAGTGTGACCTGTGCATAAGCATCAGTTTGTCTGTGTGGCGTTATTACTAACATTGTACAAAAAATTATGACATAATATCCTGAAAGATGTGCGACCTGTGCATGGGCATGAGCTCGGCTGAGGCGTTGGTGTTGATGAGGCGGCGGCTGTAGTGGCGCTCGTGGAACCAAGAGGCCCGGGCGTGCAGGCCCACCGTACCGCCGTGCAGGGCTCGGTTCACGTCAGGAATGATGCACTCCTTCTTGTGGTTGAGTAGACTCATGCCCAGCATGAAGTCCCAGTCGTGGGTCTTGAAGAATGCAATTAAAATATAAACCTTTAGAAAAAATTCTCAGTTTGGGGTCTGTCACGGGTCGTTAAAAGTGGTATGCAGATACGAATACAAGAAAAACATTCCCCGGCTTCCGGTCCAGATCGTGGGACTTGAAAAGTGCGATTAAAATACGAACTTCTCAAAAATCATCAGTTTGAAGTTTCGGTATTGGGTCTTGATAAGTGTGATTAAAATAAACAAACTCTCCAAAGCATGTGATCATAGTTAGGGGTCTTGAAGAATGGTATCAAAATGCAAACATTCCAAAAACTTTCCTCTGTTTGAGGTCCCAGTCTAATGTTTTGATCATTTGAAGTAAAAGCGATTATTCCAAAACATTCAGTAATGTGTTGATCCACCAAGAATTGATTTAGAATATAATAGAAGATAGAAGCAAAAAAATAAATTACACCATCCACTAATACGACACTCTAATATCAATACAGAGATATTAAGATTGATTAGGTGAAGATGAATCTCGCTCACAGTGATGGGGTGTATCTTATTTAAGGACTAAGTAACGCTCAAAAATTACATAGCGTAACGCATAATAAAATAATAATATATTACATTATAATAATTATATATTGTATGCTAAGCAGGCTTACAACATTGGGAGGAAACCATCTAGGTAGTATGTAGGTGATCTCCCTCCTCGGCACCATCCAGCCGTAGGCAGGGAACGACTCGACGCGGTAGAGGCGGGAGGAGTCCATGGAAGTGTGTGGGTACGACAAGTGGTTGAAGGCAGACACGCAGTACACCGTCTTGTCCAGCTCGAAAATGCCAGACGTGTGCTGCATGTACCTAAAGGAAGCGCGTGGAATGAATTCCATGAGGAGAGACGCAGTGTAAATGTAAATTTTGAAAAAATTAACTGTATGAAGCTAAATGGTAATCGAATATCTGTATTTACCATACTTGTGAATATATATGTATACATATGTGTGAATCGAATATCTGTATAAAAATTGATCCAGGAAAGTGTATAGCACTTGACTGATATTCTTGTTAATGCAGAATATCAGACGTTTTTGATGGTTGATACGTGAATTGAGTTTCTAAAATAAATTGTATATTTTTGACGAAGCATTTCTTACTTATAAAAGTCCGGAGATAGTATAAGGTCATCTTCTAGCACGATGAATTGTTTTGCATCAGGGTACAGTTCAAGCATATGGAAAAGACCGAAGCGAAGGTTACGTGAGACCAAAACCGAAGCTGTCCCTTCTGGCCTGAAAAACAAGGCTTCCTTTAAATTTTTTACCGATATAGATAATAATTAATTAAGAATTTCCAAACACGTTACAAATAAATGGAGAAGTACCTGGACCAGCAGAGATTAAAGTTACATGATATCGCCGCGACAACATATGTCGCCGGAACACATTAATTTAACACAAAGAATTTTACACTTAATGGTAATAATAGAATAAAGAATATTACACTTAATGGTAATAATTATAATAGTTTACGCATGTTGAAGAAGCTTAATGTCGAGTATGTAAGCCAACTGCGCGACCTCCTCCCTCCAGTCATCCATCACCACCGTCACCAGAGCCTTGTGGATGCCGGGCTGGCTGCCGAGCGCCTCCAGCACCCTGCATACAATTGAATTAATTAAATAATTTAAATAATAAGTTCAGCCATGAACATCTTGCGATTTCTTTAACTTGATTGATACCTGACATTTATTAATAAGAATGAAGAAATGGGTCATCAAATAACTAATGAAAAATATGAATTAAGAAAAATTAAAGAATATAGAACAGAAATGTTTAAACAAATTGCAAATTCTTCCCAAGAGAAATTAAAGAGGGTGAGAATTCATTTATGCTACTATAATGTTGATATTACATGTGAATTAAAGGCGATCATCAGGCCAAGGCAGAATCGACGAACCTGAACAGTAAAAGAGTGCGATTGGCTGTAATGATGAGAATTGGTATATCCTCTTCATAAACGCCCTGCAATATGAGTGAGGAAATAGGTTATTACTGAGATGTATTTGCGTTTATATATGAACACATATGAGAATAACCTTACAGCTTAACGTTTTATTGGCTTAATTAAAATTCTTGGTGAACTCGCGAATTAAACTGACTAGTGATAATAGCTCTCTCAGGTTACATTATTCGCAATCTCACTCGCCATCGAAGCTTACATTACAAATCGGATCAATACAAAAGATGTCCACCAACCTCCAGAAGTGGCTTTTTTTCTTTAAAAAAGAATGGCTTCTTGCAGTCGCACAAGCTCCCGTATCCATCGTGCGTCTGACAGAACCTCATCCGGGCTACCCAGCGAGCGTTCAACTCCGCAGCCTCGGCCCAAATCTTGCAGTTGTCGTACTCCATCAACAAGTCTTTCATGCAGAGAAACACCAGGTAAAACTTAAAATATGAGAAATAATTATTTCAACAATGCAATTCTACATAACAATGTTTCTTATATTGTCAAGAATTGGAAATATTAAAGTTTGGCAACAGGCAAATATTTATTTGCATGATAAGAAAGACATAAGTAATTTTCATCACTCACATATGGGATCTTCGTGCACAGGTATCCTCGCATCGAGCATCAGAGGACTTGATGTTTTTGAGCTCAAATTCTTGTTTCCAAAAAACTGAAGGTTCCAATTCATGTTGTTGTACTCAAAGTCTTCAATGTCATAATCTTCATCTGGTTTCTCAGGAGGTTGCGAATTATTATGATCTTCGTAGTCTCCCGAATCTTTGAATGTAGACTTTATTGTTGTTGTTTCGCCATGTCCATTAGTTGGTAATAAAGCTTGAAGTGTCCAGTTCTTCTTACGATAGTTTATGGAGCTTTTTCCCACCGTAATATTTAGAACATCACTCCGATTTTGATCGATAGATTCCTCATTATTTAGTGGGGGTGATGCATAATACTTCATCTCCTGTACTCTCTTGGCATTCAATAAGTACTCTAGTTTGATGATATTCTCGAGAGTTACATTCCGAGGCACCGCCTTCCCTGCGTCTCGGAGCAGGTTAGGGCTGAACGCTTCTCCCAGCGTCACGCCGTTCATCATAAACACCCAAGCCCACGAATCGCGGAACCTGAGAGGCGGATCGGTATTATGTATCACATTGGGAAATTTACGCTATTAGTGTTTGTTCTACGATAAGCATCAATTTGTTTTCCATGTATGATGTAATGGTTTGGTATGAAATCAGAATGGTAATTGTCAAATTATTTATGCCAAAATGATTACATAATTGACTGTGATACAACGGACAGAAAATTTTTTGGAAAATTGAACGGCGTTTGAGTTAATACAGCCGGGTGCAGTTCCGATAGAGTTATAATTAATTAACAAATCATTATGCATTCAGAGAGTTAAAATAATAAGCCATGCGCAACAGTGTTGGTTGTTCCGATGAAACGATTGAAACAAAATGTAACATTCATCTTTAGTCGGCAGAAAAATTCTTGCTCTCTATTGATTTGCAGCATTCTACTGACTTGCACTCGAGTAATTGAATTTGCAAGTAGTTATCCATATGCGTTCAAGTTCCCAATCATGCTAATAAAGAGGATCAAACTGCGTATTATTTATAATTAATTATCATTGTTTGTGAAGCCACTGAATACAAATGTGACGATAATTTCGTGAATACTACTGATATGAAATATGAAATCTCATTTAGACGTACTCGTCCCTCGATCAGTACTTTAATTGAATTAAGGTGCACATTGAAAGGAGTATGATCTTGACTGCAGGGATTTCAAATGCACATTATTCATCGGAGAACTCGCAAGTTTTGGAAAAATTGCAGATAACATATTTTAGATTTCTTCACGCGTAATCTGTAATATTTTCTTATTGTATACAAACGCGCGTAAAATATTCACCTGAAATGTGATATCGAATTGTTATGTAACGGATGGCGCTAAAATACTCACAGGTATTGTTCTGACACCAGCGAGCCGATCTGGTCCCTAAGGAATTGTCTGGCATCCAGCATCTGGAGCGAACCGTCGTACTGGAAGGTATAATAAATTGAAATTTATGGGTAGATTAGGTAAAACAAAATGGGTAAGTTAAAAAAAATATGAAGGTATGGAAGTATTTTAACACATATGCTGCATACCAATATGTTATTTAAAAACAAATGGATATCAAGTTGAAATAATTCAGAGGTACGATGATTCTGTCCATGAGCTTGAATTCTGCATGCACTGGAGTTATTCATTAGTTTCTAAATAGAATTATTTGAGCAACTACCGGCAAATTACACTGAAATGAACCTTGGCAGCGTAGGTAGCATAGGAATAATATTATATTATTATTATTATAATAATATATAATAATGTAGGTGTAAAGCTTGAGGTCAAGATCTTAGATTAGTGGAAACACACACCCATAAAATTTCCCATATTTTGCCACTTATAGAAATTAGGAATTTAGCGATCAAAATAATTTTGGTAAATATGAATATTTGGGTGAAGGCATGTAAATTTAGCATATAAAAAGCACAGATAATATTCGAAATGAAATCAAGTAATTATTTTCAAATAACTAGAAAAGTTCCTCTCATCTCTAATCTGTGAATGGATAAACTGCATGAAAGTAAAAACAAATAAGAAACATCACCAGTCCAACAATGATGATTACACGTCCAGGGGCAACTCTCTTCAAGATGGTGATGAGGTCTCTGAGGAAATTGCAAGCGCTGGTAATTATTTTACTTCTGAGCATTTTGTGTGAGCAATAATGTCAAATTTTGATTTACTCTTTAACCATAACCCATTATATTTCTGAACATTTTGTTGAGGCAATAATGTCAAATTTTGATTTACTCTTTAACCATAAACCATTATATTTCTGAACATTTTGTTGAGGCAATAATGTCAAATTTTGATTTACTCTTTAACCATAAACCATTATATTTCTGAACATTTTGTTGAGGCAATAATGTCAAATTTTGTTTTACTCTTTAACCATAAACCATAATATTTCTGAGCGTTTTGTTGAGGCAATAATGTCAAACTTCGTTTTCCGGTCATACCTAGATACCTAATCAGGCCGTTCAAATCGTAGACTCACTTGTTAGAAATAGAAAGATAAATAAAAAGTATCTAAAATAAATAAAACTGGAGGTAACCTTAGTTATTAGATCGAATCTTTATGTTAAGGGTATCATTTCTACAAAATATAGTTGGAACGCATGAAATATTTACCACTAATCTGATTACTTCATTGTGGAGTCAATACTATGTTTTGAATGGTTTGTCTTCGGGTTATTATAAGTTAAATGCTTACCTATAGCCTCCAAACTCGGATGTTGGAAAGATGTTGGTGTAGGTGACCACACATGTGAGGGGATGTACGACCAACATCACCAAACCGTGAGGTTTGAACCACACCAGACCAGGATGAGTGATGTTTGTATTGATGTGGAAAACCTGCATGTCAACAATAAAACGTAGTTAGCTGTTCAGCTTCTACTTGTTCTTCAATCTAGTAAAATCTATCATATTTTTAACATTTATTGCTTGCAAAGATAGTTCTGATATAATGAACCCAAACACATCAAAATTATGGTATTGATGGTAGTCTCACGTTTCTTGGATTTTTCAGACTTTGCATCACTAACGTTCTTTGCTAAAACATGCATTGAGCCCAATTAGAAAAATTGGATGACAATTTTACTAAAATTTATGATTTATCCAGACAAATTATCTATTCTATTGACGTTCAAAATATAAAATTATAGTTATCATTATCCCAATAAAGTTATTAATACAGCATTATAGTAATTTATATGCAACTATATAGCTAGGTATAGTAATTTGACCTTGCTATTATAATTGCATTATCGTTATTAATTACCTAATTCATAAGCGACTAAACCCATATTCATGAAATACCACAGCCCCCTGCGCAGGTGTAAAATTAGCATATTTCTCGAGTTTATAGTGGGGATCCAAGTGGATTTGCCGCTGTTATCGGTTAATTATCTAATTCGAAAACGACTATAACCTCATAACTGATATTATTACAGCGTTTACGCAGTTGAAAAATTGCCAAGAACCTCGGATTAGTTGTAGACCCGACTTCCTATGTGACAGTTAACGGTTACTTACCTACATTTCATAAACCACTAATCCCCATATTCATGAATCTACAGCCCCCATAAGCAAGTGTAAAATTAGCATATTTCTCGAGTTTGGTGGCATTATTGCCAAAATTCTCGAATTAGTTGAAGACCGAACTCATTTGTAACAGTTATATATTTCATAATTGAGGCACGACTATAAACCCACATACCTTAAATTATTACATCCACTTTTCAGTGGTGAAATGGCCATGATGCCCGTCTTTGGTGGAGATCCCACTTCATTTGCGGCAGTTATCGTAAATTAGTTACTTTAAAAATTACTAAGCCCACATACTTGAAATTATTTCAGCCACTGCGCAGATGTGTAAGTACTATATTTCGCGAGTTTGGTAGAGATCCAAGTTCAATTGCGGTCGTTATCGTATGGATAACTAATTTGAGAACTTCTAAGCCCACTTACCTGATATCGTTGAAGCCAATGCGACGATGTAAATATCAAAGAATCTCGGATAGGTTGAAGACTTAACTTCCTTTGCGACGGCTATCAGTTACGTATCTACTTCAGAAGCGACTAAACCCACATGCCTTAAATTATACCAGCTATTGCGCAGGTGTGAAATTTATGTATTAGGGTACGCACACAGTGAAAGCAGGTTGCCATCTTGAGCGTTATTGTTGCCATCTTGAGCGTTATTGTGACGGTTGAACTATCTAAAACGGTACGCGTTACCTGATTGTTACTGTTGAGCGTTATTGTGACGGTTGAACTATTAGCTAAAACGGTACGCGTTACCTGATTGTTCCTGTTGAGCGTTATTGTGACGGTTGAACTATTAGCTAAAACGGTATGCGTTACCTGATTGTTCCTGTTGAGCGTTATTGTAACGGTTGAACTATTATCTAGAACGGTATGCGTTACCTGATTGTTCCTGTTGAGCGTTATTGTGACGGTTGAACTATTAGCCAAGACGGTGACGGACCGCAGAGGTCGCCAGTCTGGCTCTGGCCACGACAAGGGTTTCGATGGCACAGGCAGGAGCGAGCTGTCATCTGCCAAACATAACCTCCAGCTTAAACTAAATTGTAGAAGTAATAGCAGCAGTAAAAATTGAAATATTATAGGAAAAGTAGTAACAGAAATAGTGGGAAAAAATGGCATGCAATGCGTAGAGCATTTGAAACCGTAGGGCATTTGTCTAACTGTGCAGCCATCTTACAAGCGCCTCCGGCCATCTTGCACGCGCTTGTAGGAAACCAAATGAAATAAAAAATGATATATGCAACAACAACAACAAAAATTCCTATCTTTAGTATTCGAAATATTTTCCTGAAGTTGGGGATCAGAAAAATAAAAACACGAGGAAAATTATTAAAGAGCATCATTAAGTAAAGAAATAGTTGTAATAATTTCTCGCTTTCTCGCTAGAAGCTGTAAATTCGTTATTGTTGACTGTATACCATGAATAATAAAAACAATCCAACCTGGCTTTCATCGCGATAGATTTTCTCTGATGTTTCAGAATCGTATTCTCTCTAATCTCGCTTAACTTATTTATATATGCACAGGCCCAATTTTTTATAGTCCCGTCTCCCAATGATCCTGTTAAGTTAATAACTTTCGAATTAAAGTAATTTGACTTGATAAAATTCCCGTTTCAACTCAACTTTCACGTAGCACTGCTAGTTAACGCCCCTTTAGAAATCAGCTTCTATTTCGGAATACAATTCCTAATTAACAAATCGAAATCGCGTTTAAATTTTTCATCAAACTTTGCAACTAAAATTTGAATGTCTTGTCCAGGTTAAATGCCTGCAAGATGCGTATTGCTAATTCGTGTTCAAATTACTGTAAAATGCTGTTTCAACCCCAAGTATTTGGGCGTAAAGCTAGCCGCCGGAAATAAAAAGGGTCTGATATGGCAAATATCCAAGATACTTATAGTTTTTGGTAATCGCTTGGATTTAAAAAAAAAAAGATATTTTAGTGCTTGAATCACTCACTTTTGAGATCATCCATGGTGAGGCTCTCGAATCCTGAGAGGTCGACGCTCATGTCGGACTTGCCGTCGTGGTCGATGAGCCGCACGACTGTGCGCTGAGCCACAGAGATGGTTAGGTTCCGGCCCGATGGCAGGTGTAAAACTAAGCGGCCATTAGTGTTTTTCCGCAGGACACCTGCCTCAAACTACAGAAAAAAGTTATCTTGTGTATTTTTTCCAGAAATTGAACAAATAAGAGACATAAGCGTTGAAAGTTACATTAATGAGCCAAATTTGTGGACTATATTTTTTTTATCTTATTTGAAATCTGAAAAATCTTATAAACATATAGAACCACAACAGCACAACTCAGTAGACAATAATTTTTTACATTGCATTTTAATAGCAATTCATTGTGTGATAACGCAAGTAAAGTTGCCTAAGATGAGATTGTTGATAATTTAAGTACTCTGTTTCGCGGAAAAGAGTTCAGTACAGACGTTATCAGCCTGAAGAAGTCGTGTTCTTAAAGTAGATATCTTTACCTGCATTTCCTGACCTCGAAAAATCCAAGTCTTCCTAATGAATAACTAATATCATAACTTATGCCATCATACCCGATGAATGAGATTACATGATGAAATGCATAAAACTTCAATTTACAACAGACATATTTACATAGGCATAGCCAAAAATATTATTTTTAACTGCGCATCTCACTTCCTCGAGGGAGGAATTGTAGTGCGTCAGCGAGCGATCGTTCACGGTGTAGTTCATGATGGTGATGTTACCGCTGTCGTCGATGTAGCGCAGTGATAACGGGTGAATGTCTCCAGGAATGAACATTACCTGAGTAGTGATAACATGCGTTAAAATTATTCTACTCGTATTTTATGATAGAATGTTGAGGGAAGAAAACAATACAATTTTTGGCATATGTTAAAATTATTCTATTTTACAATAGAATGTTGAGGGAAAAAGACAGTACAATTTTCGGCAGTCACTCTAATTTTTTTACCAGCAGGTGAAAAACCCAGGCAATTTGTTTTAAAAGATGAATCTTACAAAATAAGATTGAGGTAGGTATGTCATGACTCATGTCCCACACGTGTAGGAAGTCATTTGAATAATACTATTACGGTGAGTAATCTAGCTTTTATGGGTGATATATGCTTTAATTAAAGCAGCGAGAAATGTAAATATTAATGTTCTCAGGATTGAACAGCAACAATCAGTTCCTAATATCAGTTCCTAATCAGTTCCTAATATCAGTTCCACTACAACAAAGCGGATGTACTCGTACGAGTATTTAAATATCCCTAATTCAGGCACAGTATGTATTCGTTACTTACATTGTCACCAGGTTGAGATGCATTCTCAGGAGTTCCTGAGATGAAGGGAAGGCTCACCACGAGCAGAAACAAAACAGTCAAGTTAACAACTATTTCCATCCTCGATTAATTAACTCACCAATCGTTGAGGAAATTTTGATCTTAGTTATCTTACTTCATGCAAAATTTTATTTTTTTTAATCAATTGATTCTTTATGAGAATATTGGGCGGAAATATGTAGTTTAAAAAATTCTGGTTGATACAGACGCTCTATTATTTATTTATTTACTTGTTTCATTTTGAACTACATGCGTTGTTTGTATAAATACATATTATTAATTAGGGAAGATGCTTGATTCCTAAAAATATAAAAAAACAGTGTTTACACACCCAAAAATCGTTACTCATTCATTTATAAGTTTGTTTAGTTGACCAATAATGATATGATTGAATGCAGGTGGCAATGGACGAACGACGAATAATTTGCACGTGAATAAAAATTAAATGCTAGAAGCACATAAATGATTAGAGAACCGGAAAATTGTAAAACTCAATAGAGGCTATCATATTAGGAAAATCCGACTCGTACTTTTGTTAGATTTAATTTCTAGCTAAAAACTTTGCTAAATGTTTTCTTTCATGAGCGCGGTGAAACTCGTCCATGCGACAACATTTTTTCTTGCTTCAAATCACCGACGTGTGGAACAGCCTCCCCGATTACATCGTTGGCGCTCCTGGTATGAACGCGTTCAAGAACTGACTAGATAAATCTATGGAAAAATATATGTTCAGACTTGAAATGCCCAGCACCATATTCAACCCGGTAGAAGGCTAGTACTAGCTATTTCAAGCTATAGTCAGTTTGGAAAAAAATCCTCTCGAAGGACCTGTTATTATATCACGAAAAGTAGGAGAATCGGCGACAGGCCACGTCAGGCCTACTCTTCAGCACAGAAATCACTATGTTAGATGGCTCAGTGGTTACAGTTCTCAGAGTACGAGGATTGGCGCAGAAAGGAGCGGGTTCGATACCAGCTCTGTGCGCCAGTTTATGGTATGAATCGACAATGAGGCTGGGCAGTTAATTAAGCAAAGCAAAATTGAATCAGCGAGTTGCGCGTTCGAGACCGCAACAAGCTGTGAACATTCTGCGATGTAAAGAATCGGCAACAGGCCTAGGGCCTAATAGACGCTGAAAACGCTATTATTATTATTATTATTATTATTATTATTATTATTATTATTATTATTATTATTGTTGTTATTATTATTATTATGTTATGTTATGAAAGCGCGGAAAAATGTCGCTGAATCGGTTTAATTTTAATAGTTCCACAATCGATCGCATCACGCGATCTTTATTTCATAGTTAGATTTCATTTCTGTACAAATACTTTGTTTGCAATAAATTAGCTATCTTTGAACTCTCTAAAGCTCCTTTAGTTTATATAAGAAGGTACACAGTCCACACTTCACCGAGTCCCCCAAATTTGAACACTGCAGGCGTTGCGAGGTGGCATCTTCACAACTAAGGCAAACAGGAAAATAGAGAAAAATCTCACGTTACAGGAGGAAAAAACGCTTTCAATGGATACAATACAAATCTTTTTAGTGTTAATTGGAAAGCGAGTTGGAAACAAGTCACTAAAAGTACAAGAATCGGTGACAGGCCACACCGGCCTACTCAAATGAAAAATTCGTCCTAAAAATGATATTAACTCCACATGATTTGACAAAAACCATCACATCATGAAAACTACCTATAATTCGTAATTTTTAGTTTCTCAATAGATTATGAGAAGTAAAATGAATTATTATGCGAAGTAAATTGAAGTTTACGCTCGCATGACATTTTTTACGTTCTCTTTGTTGACGTTATCGGCCAACCATACACGTCATAACACATGTTGATTATCAATTTTTGCGGTCCCGGGATTTGTAAGAGTTACTATCTTCCTACCACCAGTCACTCGGCAGTCGGCACTAGTCAGATTCAGACGTACCAAATACCAATTTCGGTTTACCCAAAATTAAGTTGTTCATAGGTTCCTGTCCGTGAGTATGAGATGTGATTAAATTATTTAATTATATATTATTTACAATGTAAATTTTACATGATGTAGGCCTGTAGCCTTTGTTTGCTAGGCTATACTATAGCCTATAGCTAACCTTACCTTACTCATTAGTCACCTATCTTAGGCTAATACTTGAACTGATTGACATTAATTAGGCTACACATGATTGCTGAATCGCTTTTGCTGTTGACTGTTCTGTTGTAATAATGTAATTCACTAGCCTCAAGCGGTCAAGCCGCTCTCCAAAGTAAAGATATTCTGTCAAACGGGGTAAAATGGGATGGATTTGATCATTTTTTGTTAATAGGTAACTTCTTACCATGAAACATTTCATAAACAAGTTTAGGCTCATTTTATATCTAGCTCTTTGCGAGGGCTATCCAATGGCATCTTCAAAAAAATTCCATAGCTATGCTATTTGCAAGGTGCCAGACGCAAAATAAAACCGTCCCGATTTACCCCTCAAAGTGGGGTAATCCGGGACATTTGCAATAAAAGTTAATTTTAAAACGTTTGATGATGTAGATGTAAAATAAATAACATTTTCTGTGATTTTTACTTGTTTTTCCTTTATTGATATTATATTATCATATTCATTAATTACCGTATTATTAATGTGATATTACTGTATCTATGGACATGCCATTGAGCATTGACAACGACCTTGTCCACTGCAAGCTTCGTATCAGCAGCCATGTAGCATTTCTTCTGTATCTGTAAGCTTACAGGATGGTTTGTAATTTTGCACAATTTTAATTGAGTCAAGTGATTTCACTATAACAAAAAAGATTGTGAAAAACATACCTGAAACATGAAATAATGTTTTAGTAACAACTAACAACCATCATATGTTTTGGAGAAATAAATCATAGTTTAGGTCAATTACTTTTCATTCTATGATGCCTTAGTGCACAATTCTATATATAGCATTCTATGTACAATTTTGTAAGTACCGTTGATGCACTAATTTTTCGACAAGTGAATTTTTTTTTTTTTGCTGAGCAAGGTAAATGTAATCAAAATTCATTGTTGGTAATCAGGTTTTTTGTTAACTAGAACCTTTCCTAACTGAGGTTCTACTGTAAATGCATTTTTAAGGGTGTCCCTAATTACGTACCCCGGGTGGCAGGTGGCCCGGGTGGGTGTCCCAATTAGCCCCACCGTGTGGAAATGGCTGCAGAGGTACTTTTCCAAAATCGCACTTTTCACACTTTTTTTTGGTGATTTTTTAGAGATAGTAGATTTTTTTTAGAGATATTTAGAGATTTCTCGACTAGCTTTATACAAAAGATAGTAAAAATGTTTAAGTTTATGCCACTATTTTCAGTTTTGCAATATTTTGATTAGTTTAGCTGCTACAACATTTCTATGAAATGTCGGAGGCGCATCCTGATTTACCCCACCCGTACCTTTTTACCCCGTTTGACGGTATCTTCTTACATGAACTAAAAACTAACTTTCTCAGCTTATTTCAATTAATATATTTAAATAATTTCACAGGTTTCTCTTGTTTTTAAATAGAAAAAAAAGAAGTTTATTCAAAAACAGCCTTTGCTGGGAATCTGGGACTGGGACTGATGGAATTTCATAGAAATTAAAAGTTTAAAACCATCAGAAATTTTCACTTTCAAATCAGTCCTTTAATGCTTATTCAAACCAGTGTGTGGTGCTAGCCTGCCACACCAGCTCTGGCAGAACCAGCAACCAGGCAGGCTTAGGCAGTCTGAGGCAGGATGGGATGTAATTTTGCAATGGTCATTAATGAACACAATGACAACACATATAATCATATTTATATTACATTATAAAACATAAAATTGGAAGTTTAAACTTGAAAGTTGAACCTTTTCTCTCAAACTTGGATGGTATTTTTAGATCAACCATACTGAACAGTGAACACTGTGAACAGACTAGAACAGTGAACCAGTAACTAGCATTCAGATCTAACTGCTGAATTGAGATTTGAGCAGAAGCCACCTGGGAATTGGACAAAAACACCCTTTTATCTGGCCAATTTCATTATTTCATGTATTTCTATGACCTTGTTATCTATTTCTATAATACTGATAAGAGTCCAGTTTGTTTCCAATTACCTGATTTTATTCAAAATTTAATTTAAAATCTGTATGTGATCATGCTGGCCATTTTAGAGAATTGGCTGTTACGCCAGGCCAGGGGCCTCCAAACTTTTTTCACCAAGGGCCAAGAGCAAGCTTTTTGAAACCGTCATGGGCTGGTCATGCCTATTTACTATTTTTAATTCATGTGTAATCAGAAATAAATACCACTCTTGATTTTTGTATACATTATATTGAATCTTGTGAACTACAAGATATCCTTGTCGGGCCAGATGGAACCTAACCACGGGCCATAGTTTGAAGACCCCCGCCTTAGGCCAAAGCCACTTTTGAGGCTATGTATGAATCAGACAAATATGCCCATGCTTGCAGAAAGTTTTACCCATTTTAAAGGCCCTTGCTTAATTTCATTCATGAAAATTTAGAAGAACCAATTTCATTGGCAACTTTCCAAATGGATTTGTAGGGTTTGATCACCCTATCATAGCCTATCAATTACAATTGTATTTTCTATTGTGCTACTGCTTACTGGTAGCTAGATTTCTTGTATTCAATTACCGTACCATATAATAATTCGAACTTTGAAGCAGCTCTAGATTTTTGATAGTTTTATTTCTATTTGAGGCTTCCTAAATATTATTTGTACATATATTGGGATATATAGATACTTATTTAGTTAATAAAATTATTATTTCCAACTTTTTCATTTGCAGTTGATCATCCCAGCCCATTGAAGCTTTCTGAAACAAGAGCTGCATCAGCATCACTGTCATGGCCTTGAGTGTGAAGCTGCAATTTTTAATAGGTCTTCTGTTGATGGTTTCTTCATCCACCTCATCTGATCTGCCCAAGTCAAAGGTAGTCCATAAATCATGAATATGCATTTCATTCTTTACAAATTTTCTTGTTGGTTCACATTCTGGTAAAAAATTCAAAATCTTGTCATTTCAATTATTTTAAACTTGGTTTTTTTTTAATATTAAGTTATTTAGTTATGGTAAAGAAAGTTATTTAGCTTAAAGATATACAGTGGGGGGAAATAAATATTCGTACCTTGAAAAATCGTATTTTAATGTATGTAAGTACCCAAACTTAACAGGAAAAGTGATTTAAATTATGTATAGAGACGCATAGTATTCAAAAATACTATCAAAAGAAATTAAATCTCAATGCAACAAAAAACAATGCAACATGTTCACTTTTCGGGTGAAAAAAGTATTCGTACAAAACAATAAATCCGCATTATTTTAATTTAATACTTGGTTGAATACCCTTTATTCAGCTCATTCTTTTGATAGTATTTTTGAATACTATGCGTCTCTATACATAATTTAAATTACTTTTCCTGTTGAGTTTGTGTACTTACATACATTAAAATACGATTTTTCAAGTGTACGAATATTTATTTCCCCCCCCCCCCACTGTAGCAATGTCCCATATGTTGGCAATATATTAGTTTCATCTTAATGTTTCTGCATTCCTCTTTTTATAATATTCCTCATTAAGATGATATTCTAAGATTCCAGAACAAACAAAATTCATCTCGTTAGGTTAATTATTCTTGTCCAAGTCTGTTTTTCTTTCCTAGATCTCATAAATTCTTCTACCAAATTCTCCCACCATCAATTCTTCTAGGAAAATATGTGAATGAATGCCAATATACCTCCTGTATTAAGGTTAGAATGTTCCATTATTAAATGGAATGATTTCTAATTATTGAGGCACTAATATGCTATTATCATTCCAGGTTGTCAAATGTGCTGTGTGTCAGAGTCTGGTGAATGAAGTTCATTATCAGATAAGCCAGGTAAATTTTCCATTGAAAGTCTGAGTTGTTATTATAAATTATGAAATCTTTATTTTGGATCTGGTGTCCTCTAAAATATTAATTGCATTTTACGGCATGTTTCCTAATACAAAGAAAAAAATATATTTAGTGCCATAGCATTAGGATTCCAAAATAACTATTTGGTTTTTCCTCAAATGACTCTGTTTTTCATTTCAGATATTCTCCTAACACCTTCAGGGGTGTACCTAGAGATTTTTTTGACTTCACTAAAATGATTGATGTAGATGATTGATTTTTATTACATTCCATGCTTATTTAGGTGGATCCACGACGTAAGATTGAAGTTGGATCGTATCGCATCGCATCCAATGGAGATCAGCAGACGACCAGCAGGATCTACGCTGGATCAGAGGTTTGTAGCTCCCTCAGAGGCCCTGTAGCTCCCTCAAGTTTAGCTTGTCTAGCTTTTCATTTAAAAGTACACATTCATTGTGAACCTTGAGCAATCAAAACTACTTCCTTCTCAGTGCTTTCAAACATTTATTTAGAATAAATCAGTGTTGGAATTCTATGTGTTCCTTAATGTTGTCAAAATAGTTAGCAGGGAAATCAATAGCTACTACATGGAACTATTATATCTAAAATTTGAGGTTTGGATGTTGCATTTTGTTCCTTATTATCTTAATGATAGAATTGTTCAGTGGTAGGTTTTAATTGTTGAGCTCTAAATTGTATCATTAATAGTTCTCTTAGGAAAATTAGGTACAAATATTCAACTTGTACATTAAAGTTGAACATATGTAATCTTTATCACTAGCTCATTCAAAACATTATTTTTTTGTTTCTATCCTCAAAACCAGACCACAAGAAGTGTATTTTTGATAACTTTTGCCAACTGATGTGCTTATCCACACACGAAAAACATAGACAATTACCTTTGGTATACAGATGACGAATATGGCAGCGTTATGAGTCTCGTTGGATAAGCTACGTTTGGTGAATTCCATTTTAATCACTAGGCTGCTTGCACCTTGTTACTAATTGATTTAATTCCAGGCTCACATGACAGAGCTGATGGAGACCGTGTGTGGCTCGTTCAAAGACTACGCGCAGGCCAAGCACAAGGAGACGGGTCGTGTCGAAGTTATCCCCATTGTGGGTAAAGATGGGCAGATGAACCCTCGCTTCAGCGAGTACGAGATGATCCAGGACCCCGACCTCAACAAGAGTCTCGAGTTCCATTGTGAAAGCATCGTTGAGGATCACGAGGATGATATAGTTGAGCATTTTAGCAGCCAGCCCCAGCAAGAGTTTGATCTTGAGAAATCCCAAAAAGAATTTTGTTGGTCGAAGTCCAAAATATGTTCTGGTTTCAAAGAAGAGTTGTGATCACAGTTGGGCTTCGTAGCATTTCGAATATCATATATCATGAAGTGGAATTTCTGCAGACATTTCAAAATTGGCTGAGATGTCTAGATTCATTCCTTGATGTGTTCGTATATGTGCAGAACCCATGTGTTGTTACTAGAGTTTTACTGAACATTTGAGAGAGTGACATCAAGCTTTTGCTTATTCTACACGATTATTCCTTTTAAATCCAGTATAATCGTATGAAGTTTATCTGTTTCATCAGTTATTTCTCTACGAAACCTAATCAATAGTTATGCTGGGAATATGTCCACGTAGATTTAATAATTAGTTACATCTCCTGTCAAGAAAGGTTCGTAAGAGCATCAATTAAAATTATTAAATGAATCTGAAAATTTGTTGAAGTTTAAGAATCTTTATGTGTACATTAATTGTTGACGAAAGTTTTCCAGTTTTTCCCCACTTGTCTGCAATTATATTGAAGTTCAACGTGTTTCATAGAAAATGATGTATTCCATTCATGGTTTTCATAATTTATGATCTTTGTCTTTTGTTGTGCATTGATGTTTTTTTATACTGCCGTAACCGCTTGAATAAGCGAAAGCGTTCGATTATTTATTGCTACAGCAATTCTTGAGGAAGGCTTCCAAGCAATATTATAGTATATATTCCACGTATTGTTGAATTCAATTTTTTCTTAGATAGACGTTATCGCCTGTTTTGTTTATTGAAATTCAGCTCAATTTTTGTACCTTGGAGGTGAAAATATCATTTATGGTATTGGTATGCATGTCTTTATTATTATATTTTACTCGGCTTTTCAGTGCATTGTCGCCTGTCTGTAATTATGCTATTGAAGGCATAATCTCGTTCGATTAGTGCAATAATTATTTTCTTAAAAATAGAATTTTTTCATCATTCGGCTATCCCTCAATTTTGATGGCCGTAACCGATCACAATCTTAAGCCCCAGTTAATGAGCTTGTAAGTACAGAGAAGCATCATGAGAGCCGTTCATCAGTGAAAGAAGCTTCTCTCCTTGTGCCTTAAAGTTGTTTAATTTGGTCATTTGTGATCTTTTTGTCCGTTCCGTATTATCCGATGACAGTCGTTGCACTCTGAGCTTCGCGAGCACGTGTTTGCAGTTGTTTTCAAAATTAAAAGAATTGACTTAGCTCTTCTGCCAATCTTTGACCTCCAATCATCAACATTATTGATAATAGTTTAAAATACTCGCATTTATTTGTGTTTTTGTCGCGCTTTCTCATTTATTCCCACTAATTTTTTTTGCGTGCTGTCTCGTTTTCTGAAGGAATTGTGATTTTTTTTCCGTTTTAATGGTGTGGCACAAACTATGTTAAAAAAATCATTCATAATCATGTTCTAAATTTCTGTTTCACTTTCAAATTTTACTTCAAAACTGATATGAATACATTTTTTGCTAAAATCTTGTAGATTGATTTTATTTATCACTAGGTTATCGTGTTACCGACCGTTCGGTTTTTGCTGCATGACTGTATTCTATGAGTAATTTCTTTCTTTGTAGAATTTTACTGTTAATTTGACAAGTATGGCGTTGAGTGTTATACTTTCCGGACACACGCTGCATATGGGGTCCAGCACATGTTAAAGTCGCTCATACATTGTTATTATCTCACGTGAAATGTGGTTTCGACGAAGCTATACTGCGTGGTCTGCTTTGTTTGGTCAATTTCTGGTCGTGATTAAGTGTATTGCTTTGCACCGTAAGTATTGAATATTTATTAAGTATGTTATTTGTGGAGTAATAGGAAATGAATATTTCTTGAAATGTGGCATTTAAGTTAAAAGAGAATATAACCACTGTATGAATTGAAACCATTGGTTTACACATTTTTCATCTTCATAAAGAAAGTTAAATCGTTATTTGTTTCTTTCGCTGGATTGACGAACCCTGGCGGGGACCTAGACCCGACCCGCTAGCTTCAATAGTCATGCGTGGCAAGGGTTAGCTGCGGGACTCCTGGGCAGGCGGGGGGCTGCTTAAACACCGCGCAGATGGAGTGGCGCCCGTCTTGCAACGTTAGTCAAGCGCACAACCTGCTGCGCCCACGACAACCAAAGCTACATCCGAGCGTACGAGTGTTCCCGTCAAGACTACGTGTGCTTGACACCAGGGATCCCCTTGTTGGAGGCAGATACACGGGTGCCTGCTCAGCGCGTCGGACGAACCAAACAACCCGGACCTGGAAAATGACCTCTTTGAATGCGCCTCTCGTACCTGATACCCCGACAACGGAAACGACCCGGACCCTCACTACGGAACCAACCTTGACCTCACCTACCTCCACGTTAATCTCGACGCTGGAGCCATTTGTCCCACGCCCCCAGGCCCCTGGGCCTGGCAGAGCCGGACAAAACAAGAAATCTAGACACCAAGGGACATGGAAGCAAATGCAGCCAACCCTAGAAGCCCGCATCCAAGACTACCCTCATTTCTTCCGCGTCGCATCGACGACTGGTGAGAACCTGGCTGCCATTGACGTAGTCCAGGCCAACCGGCAACTAGTCCATTCTCTGGGCAGTGAGCCAAAAAATGTGCACGAGACCCGAGACGGAGCACTCATAGTAGAAATACAAAACAGAACTCAGAGCGACTCAATACTTAACATCAAGACACTGGCAGGTTGTTCTGTCACCGTAGAGCCACACGGTACACTAAATGAAACCAAAGGAACTATTTATTACCGCAATGAGCCCAAGTATACTGTTGAAAATTTGCAAGAGCATCTTAGTCACTATAAGGTTAAATCGATCTATCAAATGAAAAAGAAGATGCATGGAGCCCTAGTGGACCTACCATTATATGTACTCACATTTGCAACATGCAAGCTCCCTACTGAGGTAAAGATTGGGTGGCACCGATGCTCCGTGAGAGAGTACATCCCTCGCCNGCACCGCGTGCGCCGGGTGGAGGTATGCCTCACCCGCCTCCGCATTGGACACACTAGAATCACCCATGGCCATCTCATGGAACGCACGCCTGCACCTTATTGCATGGATTGCTTAGTGCCCCAGACCATAATCCACGTCCTCTGTGAGTGCCCATCATTTGGTGTGGCCCGACGGCAATTTTTCCCCCATCTAAGCCAAAACGACCCCGACACGCACCTAAAAAGTATTTTGGCCCAACCAGAACACGGTAGCTATAATGTTGACCGCCTCGTAGAGTACCTGAGAGCAATAAACATGTTCGACTGTATATGATCTGGTCAACGCTGAATACATGTGATGCAATATGTTCTTAGCCCATAATGCCCAACGTGACATTCGGCGCGAGATAGCTTATCAGCTGAAGCGCTAGTAATCATAGGGTCACTAAACTAACTAACTAACGTTATTTGTTTCGATATCCCATTATTTAAAAGAGTATCAAGGTGCTAACAACAGTGGTTTCTAAAACTTGATCAAGCCCCACTAGAGGAACGTGAGGACATGGCATGTGGGCGGTGGACACAGGAGAAGAATTATTACATTTTATTGCGCATGTTACATGGTATTATTCATTGATATTTGAGATAATTGCCGCAACATGGAAAAAACTACAAGTGATCAGGCGCTCAGCGGAATGTCGCTGTGGTGGGAGCATAAGAACCAGCCTACGTACTGCATTTACGTGCATCAAGCATTGATACTGTATCATGAATGATGGAGGTTATTGTCATCACAGTAACTGATGCCCACGTGGAGAATGAGGTATTGCAACTCAGCAGACGTGCGACCGATGCGTATCATGGGGTCATGTACTGCCTGGCAATCGTGCTCAAATATGACGAGGACAATTGTGTCTGATGCGTCGTTAAGGAAAAATATTATAACCCATCAGTATCGGATTAGAATACTAAATTTTTTTCAAATAAGTATACGACGTGACGTAAAATGTCAGGTTATGACGTAGCTCCCAGCTTCTTACTTGCTATTTACCCTCTACCGTCGTGTGTCTCTCTCCAGGAACATAACTTTCAACTTAAATAATGCTTAAGCTATTAAGTTTAGCAACCTGAGGCCGTTTGTACGCAACAGAGAACATTTTAAAGGTGTACGTGGCGGCAACCATCAGTGCAAGTCATTTTGCGCTCACTAACATCGTATCCCTTTTGGGAAGTAGGCGCGTGACAATATTGTTCCAGTTACTCATGTCGTGCGGTAGAGGGTTAATATAAACGTCATCCTCTGAACCTGGTGTATTCACCAGGTTGATGCTTCCTATGCCATGGTAAGCGATCAACGAGGGCTTGTTCCGAAGTAGTCGGCATGATTTGTCCACTTGTGTTTTGACTAGAGGAGCAACAAAAAACGTACAATCTTAATTTTTCTTTGTGACGTAAAATGGTTGTAGCAAGATTAAGCTTCACTCTTCAATTAAAGAATTTACATTCCTGTTAAATCTGCAAAACGTTGATATTGTACCGAGGTAACATAAGTAGCATTAAGCGTGAAATACATTGTGATCGCGACGCCATGCTCGAGAGTCACGGCACGTCTGTCACGCAATCCTTTAATAATTAGCCTTCTTCTGATATACGTGTGCATGAGCCTGTCTAGTTTTACTACCTCGAAAAGCCCGTACTGATAGAATAGAATATAAGCGTCGGCACTAAAGAAATAGGCCCATGGCCTGTTGCCGATTCTTGTACTTTTCGTGACTTGATTCACAAGGGATCCGTCCTTTTGAGCCCGATCTTTCCCTAACTGTCAACTGACGATTGATTTACATAGCTGCTGGACTTATTGCAAGGTCCGTAAGGTGCTACGCATTTCAAGATGAACATATGTTCCTGCATAGCTTTGTCTAGTCTGTTCTTGAAGGCTTTCATACTCGGAGCGTCAATGATCGATGCTGTCAGGGAGGGTGTTCCACATGTCGGTGACTCGAAGCGAGAAGAAATGTTGTCGCATGGATGTGTTACAACGCAGTTTTTAGCGCATTTTCTCATTTATGGAAAAAATGCACTATTGTGCTCGCCATGTCCGGTGTCTCTTATACACATCTCAGCGCAAGGAGAGACCTTCTTATGCTACAGTACCTTGCAAGAGCCCAACAGCTACCCAACTCCCCCTCCTACCTGAGCATTACACACCAATGGCCCATGGGTGCCCGACGAGCGAGCGAGACATTTGGCTCTCGAGCTCGCGAGATCTGCGCACGCCTGCATCTAACTGTACAGACCATACCCATTGATTTTTGCAACAACCCACGCTGGTTGCTCTCCCCCTCCGTGGTCTGCCCTGGCTTCATGCAGGGCAGAAAAAGTGATCACTCAGCTGATGGCATTAGGTCTCTGTTCCTCGACCACATCAACACATGCCACCGACGGTGCATGCACATATACACCGATGGCTCTAAAGACGATAGTAGAGTTGGATGCGCAGCGGTTAGCGACGCTGCGAGGAGCTCGCTGAGACTGCATAGCTACTCCTCAATATTTACTGCAGAACTATATGGCATCCTGTGTGCCATCGCAATTGCAAGGGAGAGCACAAACATGGAGATCTGCATATTTAGCGACTCCTTGAGTGCAATTCAGGCGATTTTATGTTACAACTCACCGCATCCCCTGGTAACCACCATACATAGATGGCTTATCCGACTCCACACGCGCCAAAAGACAATTACATNACCTGGAGGCACTAACCACTCACCTGGGGGCACTAACCACTCACCTGGGGGCACTAACCACTCACCTGGGGGCACTAACCACTCACCTGGGGGCACTAATCACTCACCTGGGGGCACTAATCACTCACCTGGGGGCACTAATCACTCACCTGGGGGCACCAACCTCAAACTCGGGGGCACCCACCACACATGGGGCTATCTTAAGATCTTTGCAACGTAACGGTTCTATACAGTACACCTGGCGAAGCCAGTCAGGACTAGGCGACGCACAAAAAAAACCTAGTCCCGAGTTATCCCAGCTGAACAGCATTTAGTAGGAGGATGCAGGGAGCATTGAAAGGCATTCATCTATAGTCAGTAGCTCCTTCGCCGGCTCAATGCCTCGGAGCGAGAAAGCACTGCACACCATTCATGGGCATTTCAATATTCGAGAACGACGACGCGGCAACCGGCCGAAGCCGGCTTCCGTCACGGGAGCTCAGCACAGCACACCTTCCTCTTCGGCGGTCAGAACAGAACCAACAACAGCTTTATAGCTTCTACATCTATGTACTCGTCGGAGCGTCTGATCAGTCCAAGTCGTTTATCGGCTTTATTAACTTGAGCTTCAATATGCTCAGAAAATTTCAACTCATTGTCGACATTAACTCCTAAATCTTTTTCCATTGTCGACTGTCCCGCGAGTGTCTTTCCCAGACACTCGCAGATGGGTCAATAAAAGTCGGACTTCTTACTTCACTTCTTGTATTGAGTCCTCGCTGAAGAAATCAATTTATGCAGATGACACCGGACTCCACGCTGACGCTTACTGCATAACTTTTTTTTACTCATTGTCATCGGGATGAGAGCCTTGCATATTCTGCTTTCTTGTCCACATCCTACCTTGGCGATGTAGGCTCCTCAGCTGTGGCGTCTCACGTAACCAATGCACAAGTCTGAAAATTCAGCATGATCCTAGAGTATCCTTAGTATTTGTTTGGGACATAGCAGTCCCAGGCCACGATGGATCGCCAGGTAGCGGTGATCCATTCCAGCTCTTCCGGTTCCTCTGTACCTCATGACCTCAAACTTGGTCCCGTTGAACTGCATGTTGTTCACTAGGGCCCAGTCATATATTGCAGAGAGGTCTTCTTGCAACCTCTCACTGTCCGTCCTGTCCGTGATGGTCATTAATATCCTGGTGTCGTCTGCGAATGACGATGCAGTGGCGTGGTTCACTGCCACATCTATGTCGGCGATGTGGA